GTGTTCCTGCTCTCGCTATCTCTCTCTGTCAAATAAATAAATAAAATCTTTAAAAAAAAAAAAAAAGATTTTATTTGAGAAAGAGAGAGGGAGGGAGGGAGTGAGAGAGTATGAGTGGAAGGAGGGTCAGAGGAAGAGGGATAAGCAGACTCCACGCTGAGCAGGGAGCCCAGTGCGGGGCTCGATCCCAGGACCCTGGGATCATGACCTGAGCCAAAGGCAGACGCTTAATGACTGAGCCACCCAGGCACCCCTTCTCTTTGTTTTCTTTTGCTGTTTTATTTTTCCTCCCTTCTATGCGTTACTTTAGAATTTCATCTTTATAGAGTTTTTGTGTGTATATTTCTTTGCTGAGGCTTCCTAATTTTTCATTTGTTTTGGATGTGTTCATAAATGATCATTCAGTGATTTTTATGTTGACCCCTTTAAAATCTACATCAGATAATTTTAATACTCTATCTCGTTGGCGTCTGTTGTCTTTTTTCATTTAGTTAGACATCTTCTTGGTTCTTTGAATGACAATAGATTTTTTTATTGAAACCAGGAAATTTTGCGTATTACATTGTGAATCTCATTTAAACATTCTAACTGGCTTTTTTGACACTTACCTCAGAGGAAGAGGGGTGCCACCTTGTTAGTGCTGGGTATAGCTGGAAGTTCAGGTTTCTCACTTAGCATCCACAGACACACTGTGTTGTGGAGAACCTCTTTACTGTTAGACAGGTGCTATGATCTGAATGTTTGTGTCTTGTCTACCCCAAATTCATATGTTGAAATCCTACAGCCTGAAGTGATAGTATTAGGAGGTGGAGCTGAAGGTGATTAGGTCATGAGGGCAGAGACCTAAGGAATTAATGACCTTGTAGAAGAGGCCCAGAGCGTCCTTGCCCTTCGACCATGTTCTGATACAGTAAGAAATCAGAGACCCTGATCTGGGACTTCCAGCCTCCAGAAATGTGGGATATAAATTTCTGTTGTCTATAAGGTACTTGGTTATAGCAGCCCAAACAGATTGAGAGCAGAGAGGGAGTTCTGGCTTACCTTATCGTTTGCACGGACACTGGTGGGGTGATCCCACTCCTCCCTGTTCTTCCCCCGCCCCTCTGACACTACCAGTAGAATGCTTACCGTATTCATCTTAGTTATTTAGATTCCCAGTCTGATACTTCTAAAATCTCTGCCATATATGAATCTGGTTCTGACACTTGCTCTGTCTCTTCAGACTGTGTTTTTTTGCCTTTCAGCATACTTGTAATTTCTTTTGTTGAAAGCCACACATGTTGTATTGGGTTAAAAAAAACGGAGGTCAATGCAGCTTTATTGTCAGGTGATAATGTTTATCTGATTACAGGTAAGGCTGTGTGAACTGCTTGTCGTAGCTTTGTTGTCAGAGAATAAAATTCCCTCTGGTGTCCTCTTTTTTGTCTTGCCTGTTATCTTTGAGTTTCCCTAGAGACTGCTCACACAGAATCTGAGGCTTATGGTTCGTCAAATCTGTGATCCTGTTGTTTTACAAAAGCCCTAGAGATGTGGTGTTAGGTAAGGAGGAAGAGAAATATTCTATAGTTCTGTGATTAGGTCTTATTCTTTAGGAACATGAGTTGGGTGTTTCCCTTGCCCCAGGTTGGTTAGATTTTGGTAAAACTGCAGTGGTTTAGGCTCTGATAAAATATTTTCCCTTGAGTATAGGCTTTATTAAGGAGAATACAGGTTTGGGGTATATTTCAAAACTGGTTACATTTCCCCTTCCCCCTGGTGGAAGCAGGAGGAGATTTTTCTCTGATCATCACAGTGAGAATCTGGTAGGACTCATAGAGCTAAAATTCATGAAAGTGGAGAGGCCCCCCTCAGTTTTTGATCCTCACGTTAATATACACTGAGCTTTCAGCAATTTGTTATGTATAGTTTAAAGCGTAGTTATTAACATTGGTTCTAAATGCAGGCTTCCACTCTAGTAAGCTGTGAGTCTCTGTATCTGTTTATCCAGTTTTCAGGGTAGCAGTTTGCCCTGTGGCTTCGATTATTTTATAAATCTAAGAGGAGTTGTTAATTTTTCAGTTTGTTGAGCTTTTTTCTTGTCCTGAGGACAGAAGTGGCAACTATGTCCTTCAGGGCGCTAAATTTGATGTATCCCAATTTTTTTTTTTAAGATTTTATTTATTTGACAGAGATAGACAGCGAGAGAGGGAACACAAGCAGAGGGGAGTGGGAGAGGGAGAAGCAGGCTCCCCACCTAGCAGGGAGCCCAATGTGGGGCTCAATCCCAGGACCCTGGGATCATGACCTGAGCTGAAGGCAGACACTTAATGACTGAGCCACCCAGGCGCCCCTGATGTATCCCAATTTTTAATATCAGTCAGTTGAAATATTTTCTAATTTCCCTTGTAATTTCTTTTTTTGCCATGGTTATTTAGAAGTGTAATATTTAATTTATTAATAATTGGATATTTTCTAGAATCCTGTTGTTTCTGATTTCTACTTTTATTCCAGTCAGAGGAATATACTCTGTAAATTTACAGATTTTTGAAATTTATTGAGTCTTGCTTAATGGCCCTACTATGATCTGTCTTGGTGAATATTTTATGTCCACTTTAAAAACCTATATTCTGCAATTGTTGGGCATATAGTGTCCTGTAAATCATCAGATCAGGATGGCTGATACTTCATTTAGATCTTCTAAATTCTTACTGATTTTTTTCTTCAATTCTGTCAGTCACTGAAAGAGGATATAAAAATCTTCAATTATGATTGACTTTGTTTTCGCTTTGAGTTCTCTTGAGTTTGCTTCATGGGTTTTGAAGCCATGTTTTAGGGACATATACATTTATACTTGATACCTTTTTCTGATACATTTTATTTTAATGAAATGTGTTTCTTTTTATCACTGGTAATGCTCATTATCTTGAAATCTTTTGTCTGATAGTAATGCAGCCACTCCAGCTTTCTCCTAGTGTTTATAAGGTGTATCTTTTTCCATCCTTTTTCTCCAAGACAACATACAGCTGGGCCTTGTTTTTTTTAGTCCCCTCTCTGACAGTCTCTGATTTTTTTTTTTAAGAGTTTATTTATTTATTTGACAGAGAGAGAGACAGCAAGAGAGGGAAAACAAGCAGGGGGAGTGGGAGAGGGAGAAGCAGGCTTCCTGCAGAGCTGGGAGCCCGATGCGGGGCTCGATCCCAGGACCCTGGGATCATGACCTGAGCCGAAGGCAGACGCTTAACGACTGAGCCACCCAGGCGCCCCAGCAATCTCTGAATTTTAATTGGAAAACTTAGTACTTGGCTTTAAAGGACTTCCTAACGTGGTTGGGTATCAGTCTCCTATCTTTGTTTTTTGCTGTTTGCTCCCTCTGTTGTTGCTTTTTGGTTTTCTTCTCCTTTCTTGCCTTCTTTTTGATTAGTTGAATTATAATATTACATTGATTTCTCTATTCCCATTTCTAGGGAGACAATTCTCCCAAGTCTTTCACGTTTCTACGTATCTTGTGAGCAAGGTGCTGACTGCCCTTAATATTCCTTGCCATCTTTTCCAGGATGTTTGTATAGTGAATAACCTTGGAAGATACAGTGTCTCCCTCTAGAGCAAAGGGAAGGTGTCCTCACTCCCATTACAGAGGATTTGGGTCCCCGCAGGTCAGATTTCCCCTGCTGTAATGCAGGCCGCTGTGTGTTCGATGTCATCCAGACACCCTCATGTGTCCTGTGGAAATTGGGGCTCAGGAAACTGGTACAGAAATGCTGGTATTCTGGCTACTGCTGTTCCTGTGAGTAATAAACTGTCCGTTACCTCTTCAGCCCGAGATTCTTGCCTTCGGCCAGCTCTCATAGTAATTTGTAAGTAGGGTCCATGTACTTAGACCCCGCATGGTTCTTGACAGCATTCTCTCTGTCCTCTTTCTTGGTGCTGTGGCTTCATGTACATTACAGATTCTGCAACTCACTGTTAGAATTTTTTTATTTAAAGAGTCATAGCTTTTAAAGTAGTTAAAAGAAAGGGGAAAAATAATTTTTTTTTCATATATAACTGTATATTTACCATTTCTTCTTTACTTCCTTCCTTTTTTGAAGATCTTAGTTGCTTTTTGTAGCATCCTGGACCTTTTTCCCAAAGAGCTTTTTTTCAGCATTTCTTTCATGCAGGTATTTTGGCAGTTTTTCTCTCAGTTTTTGTTCTACTGAAATGTCTTTGTCAAGCATTTTTGAAGCCTATTTTGGCAGCATACAAAATTCTGGCATAGTTTTTTTCAGCGCCTTAAACATGTCATTCATTACATTATCTTGGGACCTTCCCTGTGTCTTATGAGAAGTTAGCCTTCATTTGTTTCATCCATTCTCTAGATGTGTTTTGTCGTTTTGCTTTTCCTTTTCTGTTTTCATTGTCTGTTTTTATTTTGCTTGGGATCTTTTCTGATTTGGGGCTCTGTAAATTGATGTCTTTCACATATTTGGGGAAGTTTTGGCCATCATTTCTGTAGGTTATTTCCTGTCCTGTTCTCTCTCTTTTCTTCTGTGATTCCAAATAAACCTGTTTTACCACTTGATGTTTCCCATCAGGTCCCTGAGCTTCTACATTTTTCTTCATTCTTTTTCCTCCTCCTCCTTCAGACTGAAGATCTGTCTTCAAGTTCAGTGACTCTACTTGCTGTTTCCTTTCTGCTGTTAAGCCCACTTAGTGAATTTTTCATTTCA